GAGAAAGAAACCGGAAGAGACAAAACCGTCACTTGGTTTCACACGAGTGTCCGGTAATAAATGCATATGCTTAGCTGTCGTTTTCGACCTGCCAACTGACTCGCTCTTTCCTGATTACCAGCCCAATTCAACTGAAGTGCTGTTGCAAACGTACCTGAGACACAGCCAAACTGCCAAAACCTGAACAGAAACAGTCGAGATGCCGGGGTCGGCTTGGAACCACGGGCCTTCCGGTCAATAAGTTTGGGTCTTGACCGCTAAGTTGTGTCGAGTTCAAAAGGCGTGTTTTGGATAATCGTTGCCTAAACGTACACGTTATACGTTTACCAGCTCTTTTGGTTATGGATTATCATTGTATGAACTTCGTAAGGTGGAAGGTAGAGGTGGCTACACGTGTTTCGGGTGCCGAAACAAAAGGGGAAATATCGCCCTCCCATAACATCTGTATTCTTGCTGCTTATCAAGCAGGTGAATGTCAAACGTGTGTGGTGGACTCACTGAATGTATTGTTGGTTGTCCACAACAGGAATGATAGCGTTCACAACCGGTATGTCCTCTGGCGCCTGAGTCGTTAATTCATGAATGATGCGACCAATTTCAGACCGATTTTTGGTCAGGGATGAGGTTTTCGAGCTAAGTAACTGCAGATGGTGAAAATGTACGAAGCGCGGCTGGGAATCCCTATGGTCGGTAGAACCAGAAGAGACACTTGATGCTTCTTCATTTAACGAAGCGCATGAGAGGAGGGCATCAACCTGCAGTTCGGGTTCACCTACAAGAAGTGGGAAACTCGTTTGAAGAAGTTTGAGCGCAGAAAAATTTAATAACAAAGGCGGAAAAAAGCACAATGACTCAGTGCCACATGGCCTAGATATTAATGTTACTGAAAGTTGGTTGGTTTGCCGAGCTAAACAATTAGCCTGCAACCGCTTTATCAGCAATCGAGAAAACATCATCAGTGCACGCGCTCATTTATTATTTATTTAGTAATTATTTTACTATTAATGTGCCACCAAATCCATGGGTTCGTTACCGCTATATATGTGCCCAAAAGGGAAAGAGACGCTCTACTGTTTCAATCAGTGATCCACTATCAGTCATGCACTCTCAACAAAACAAGCTACTATGGTCAGTCAGAAATCAGTCTCATCATAAAACAAAGCACTGAACGTCTGTCCCATCTGGCATTGTAAAGCTGACGCGCATGAACACTGGTTCGTGTCACGTACATTCTGTATGTATTATGTCCCGAAGCTTCCAATGTGGTGCCATCGTGATGGATTTCAAACATGCCTGCTTCGACCGTACTCATGAAAGGCAGTCAAAACATTCGAGATCTCCTATTTTACGCACGGTTCTAATGGATGATTACCGTCGGAAGGCTTGTCACGGCTCCTGGGGTTTGCTTGCGGGAGAGCGACGTATCTGATTCCAACGGTTCATGACCAAGGGGTGTGCAAGTGTATGGGAATCTAGGTCCAGCGAGTGGCCGGGGAACCTGAACTGTGCATCTTGCAACACTCACTAGTGAGTGATACATGGTACTAAGCATTCGTAGTTAAAAAGCCAACATAGTTGCTAGCCACATAATCGCACACAACGGATAGGTCAGTATAACTTCACGCAAGCATTCTAAATTGGTGCTCCTCACAGAGTAGAACAGAACCGTATTCGTTGTGAAGATTACCGAAAAGTCTTACTTAAATAACACTGTTTATCCTAAGGGTTCAGCTAAACTCACCTTGGCACTCTTCCGCGTGTTCAGTCGCAGGAGTGGTCATTGTGAGTAACAAGACATGCTAATGATAACAATGTTCTCTGTCAAAATACAGGTGGCACTAGTGGTACCAAACCTGCCTTGTGAATGGAGAAAAAACTCCTTCGAATACGGAGACCTGTAGCTAAAGAAGAGGAAAATTCAACATGTAGGCCTGGCTTCGATCACCGGAAAAACAGAGTCGAAATACGAATATTCATTGTTGAAGGTAAATATATCTCAAGCAGTGGGGAACAAGATTGGTTTCCCTGCGCTCGGATCCCTGTATGGGTAGGAGTGACTTGAGATTTTACTTGGATCGGACCCATCCCATTGTTGAAGTAAATATATCTCAAGCAGTGGGGAACAAGATTGGTTTCCCTGCGCTCGGATCCCTGTATGGGTAGGAGTGACTTGAGATTTTACCTGGATCGGACCCATCTTCCAGGATGTAAAAGCAATAGTACTGCATATATATATATAT